GCCTAGAGATCTGACAAGATCAGGCTACATGGTGGTAACACTGCTGTCAGATGATTAGAAATGTATCAGAAGTTTTAACTCCCCAAAAAAACATTTTGAGGTGATTTTTTTAGTATTATGGACCTCTGTAGTCACTAATTTGTGCAGAAGTCATAAGTTTAGTTCAGTTAGGAGCCTGAAGGCCCAGCAGTGTTGCCTGTCATTGGAATGTGCAGTGATGCACATTTATTCATTATGGTCTGTGGATTTCTTTTTATTTATGGGCTGAATTTGAACAACGTGACTAACGATGTGAATGATAACGTAATGCCTGTTCCATTTCATAGGCCACCAAACGTGCCTCCCAAACCTCAGAAAATAAGGAAGCCTAGACCATGCTCCTTTTTTAGTGTTAAGTTGTTCAATGGGAATTTGGAGTCCTTTATCAAGGTACTGACGAAAACGGGCTTAATGGCTGATATTCTGTTTCATAATGATCCTACCTTCTTCTGCTTCTGTGGGGCTGATCATTATGGTCCTGTGGGCTTCTAATCCCTTCTTATCGGTGGAATAGCGTGCTGCATCTTCAAACGCCGGAAGAACAGGAGTATTTTTCGGCCTCCGCTTCTTGATATGGAAGTAGTGAGCAGCCCCCCGAGCGTGTGCTCGGCTCAGGCGAGGCTTTCAAACCAGACACGGCAGTCAAGAAGGCACAGAAGGGATTAGCATCCCCAAAGCCATTTCTCACTGCCTTGTGTTTTTTTTTTTAAAAAAAAAAGCTCCCGGCCCAGTATCGGCGGGTCGTTAAAATTCTGGGAGCGTCAATAGAAAACAAACGAAGCCAAGAGCTCACAAACTCCCGTTCCCCCCCCCCCACGCTTGAAGAGTGCGCCATCCTAAAAGAAAGCCGTTCGGGATCTTTGGGCTTGAGCCTGTGGCTTTTGGGATGCAGTGATTCCTGTCTGTTTCACTTCTCTGTTTTTCCCTTCCGCGCTTCCAGCCGGGGACGAAGGAACTCGCACACCAGGCACCAGGTACAGTGCTCTTAACGAAGGAAGCTGCCTGCTCTCTCTCTTCCTGCCGGCGCTACTGCTCTTGCCGCTCCTCCTGACCGCCAGTTTGTAAACGAGAGGCGTTTACTGCACAGATCCTGATTGAATCGCTGACAATCGCTGACCGTTTTGCGTCTGTTCGCCATGGAACCTGTTCCCCGTGGAAAGCCAGCTCATTTGCACACGGAGCGCTCTAGTGCTCTCCGTTGTGGCCTCTCCACGTGTGTATGGAGCTCTTCCACGTTCCTCTGGTAGAAAAAACTTAACTTTAAAAAAAGATACGAAGGCGAAATTAATTAAAGGGCCTGGCAGAGCCAAAAGCAGACAGTTACTGCATTTAAAGAGCTTAGCTCCAGCCGGGTAATATGCTGTTATGCTTCAGGGTAAGTCTTTAACTGTGGCACATTTGGAAGGCTTTAGTGTCTTATTTTATTCTCTCCCCAAACTCATCGTCGTTTATTTTGTGCAACCATTGTGGTGAGTGGAGACGAGATAATCCTTAAGAGTAAATACCTACATTGATGGCCTGCCTTATTATTCCTTTTAAAGTGATATGCTCTTCTTTGTTAGCTGCCCTTTTTATATTTAAAAATGCTGAAGTGGATAAATCATTTTAAAAAAGGATTTGGAGACCCTTCATTAATATGAACGGTCATTCGATTTACAGACGTGGCCTTGCCCCTCTTAAAAATCATTCAGTGAATATTGATTTGAACATTGGATCTTTCCTCATGAGGTAGAGCTAAAAAATTAACGGTGTGAACCGTAAAACTGCAGGTTCCTGCTTGGTGATATAAATCTGTCGATCTTGTAAACTTTCTTTTTAACTCTTTGAATGCTCACCCCTCCTGCTGAGTCTAATATGTGTAATGGAATGTATTAGTGTTGCGACAGTGCATGTATACAGTAGGTGTATGTAATGCTAGTATATATATGTAATCAGTATGTTTATATATATATACATAATGGTCATTCAAAAAGTTTTTCATCTCATATGTAGAAGCATAACACTAGATAATTCTTGAACTTAGAACCCTGTTTGTTCTTCAAATTACAATTCCTAGATAAAATAGAATGTTTCTGACCATTCCTTTACCCAGATGGGAATGGTGGACATCACCTTGGAAACCATGTGCAGTACTGCACAGCACAGACTTCATAGATTGAAGCCAACAGTAGTCGCTCGGAGCGAATGTTTGTCCTTTTGTCAGCCTGTATGGCTTTGGCCTTGTGAAATGATGCATTGCAGTTCAGCAGAATACTAGTGTGTAAACATTCCACCCCATCAGCTGCAAAGTCAGCAGAACACGGACAATGGATTGTAGCTGTGGCCAGTTTATAACTGATACAGTTGCCCTTGTTGAATTACAAAAAAAAAAAGTCTGGCCATAATCCTCTTGTGTGAAAGATGCAGGGAATTTTTACATTGTTCAGTGATGAACCCTCATCTCATTGCCAGATTGCCAGTAACCACATAAGACACAGACTGAGCTGGCTGGCTCCCTTGGTAGTGATCTTGGCTGATGGCCTTTTGGCAGAACCTTTTGACATGCCAGGATATGCATGGATAATTCATTCAACTTTAAGCTTGTCTGAAAATGCATCAGTCTTGATTCACCAGCCCTTCACTTTCTTTTAAGAGCAGAGATTCTTACTTTCTGTACAGTGTGTAGGAGGATTGTGCAGACCTGGGAATACCCTTAATCTGTTTTCTGCAATTCCCTTTGCCCATCGCATCACTGTGGAACAAGAGTGATAGCTTCCTCTAACAAAGCAGTCATGCCAGCAGGGACTTGCTATATAGTGATATAGTGTGTCCTTCCTTCCCAAAACAAATTGTTGTGTTACTTAAGCTTTGACAAGTCAATCATTCTATGACTCGGGAAAGAACCATACATGCAGCTTTCAGTAATACATATGCACTGTACAGTAGACCTCCAGTACATTTGGAAAACTTTTTGAATATCTTTTGTATATCAATGCATATGAAGAGAAATATTTATATTTAAGTGGTTGTGACTCATGAATTGTCTCTTCCCATAAGGATTCTGGGCAGGTTATCCCACGTGTTGTTGAAAGCTGTATTCGCTTCATCAATCTCTACGGTAAGTGAGCGTGCATTGCTGAAGGTAATTCAAAGGGAAATGGCTTACTTCTAGAGTCGGATTCAGCAATCCTGTGATTGCCTGGATTCGTGACACTGTCAGCAACACTTTAGATGTTAGGTTATTCCAACCGTGCAACTCAGTAAATTAAAAAAAAAGATTTTTGCATTTGACCAGATAGAGCATATATTATATGACACTACAATACCAACAAACATTAAATATTTTGTTCCACTGGGCAAGCCTGTTTCTTTGTTTTCTTCCAGTGCTCTTTAGTCAGTAAAAAATCATAATGCTTCTTCAATTTTAAGTACAAATCTCCTCAGATATTATAAAGCCATCATAAATCTGTCCATGAAACATAACTCAAATGATTTTGTGTACCTGTACTTATTGTCAATGAATGCCCTTATATACTGTCACATACAGCTTCATACAGTACACATTTTGTTGCCATTTTGAGATTCCCTTTACATGTACAGCTAAGCTAAAGAATCATGTCTATAGTTTTTAGGAAGTAAAGTTTTTCTGCCAGTTAGATAGGCCTGTCGTTGTTCAGTATCGCACTATATGTGAAGTTCCTGGTGTTTCTTACAATAACGGTGTTTGAGTAGACATATAACTTTTGGTTATACTGTAACTAGCCAGAGAGCAGAGGCAACTATTAGAAACGTTCAGCAAAACGTATGAGAAACCACCTGTTTCCTCTAAATAAACTTTATGCACTGCTATGCCTAGGTCTTGGCTTCAGCGATTTTAGTGATAGGAAGGATATGACGGAGAACTTTATAATAGTTGGTGATAGGCTTATCCACATTGATTGTAGGATAAGGGAAAAAAAAAAACGTGACCACCAGTTTTTCCAGTCTGATCCCGACAGTAGTTACTACCCAGTGTTTCTGTCCTTCCTTTGTGGGTGTTGGATGCTGTTCTGAAACCACGAGTGCAGCAAAGGCCTAAAATGCTTTTCTCCATTTTGGTCCCCTCAGGACTCCAGCATCAGGGAATATTCAGAGTGTCAGGGTCACAGGTGGAAGTCAATGATATCAAGAACTCATTCGAGAGAGGTGAGTTATCACATTCAGTCTCACAACATGATAAGCAGGTCATGAGGGCTAGCCGAATCTCCCACCTTGGAGAGGTCCAAGGTTTTTCTACGAGGTGTCAGGGGCACTGCAGGGATGTGGCCTCTGGTTTCTGGACTCCATCACTGACATTTGAAATCTTAATTTCCTTCGGTTTCACCCTTTTTTGTCATTAGACAGCAGTGGGTGCTTTCAATTCCAGCTGTATGAAATCGTCCAATTTTGGGAAAACCCACAGGAAAAAGAGTCAGCTGTGTGGACTGTGAACTTGGCAGCAGCAGTGTGAAGATTTTTAAGAGCATTTTTTCCATTTCGTGGGGAGGAGGAGGGTAATAGGAGTATAAAAGCTTAATTGTCTGGCTAGACGCACTGCCTAATCTGTCCATATCATATGGCGATTTTCTTGAAATAGCTAAATATTGTACATCTGTTCATTTTGTCCATCAGGTAACGATCCCCTGACAGATGAGGAGAACAACCATGATATTAACTCAGTTGCCGGAGTTCTCAAGCTCTACTTCAGAGGGCTGGAAAACCCACTCTTTCCCAAGGAAAGATTTAATGATCTCATTTCCTGTATCAGTAAGTCACTCTCAGCTATCTCCTCTTGCATCTGATAGACCTGTTCATTCACACTCCCTTTAGTTATGAAAAGAAGGGTGACATAAACCAATGAAAAAGGTTGTCGTGATGTATGGACTGTTGAGGCTTGAGATTACTGCATTTTGGGGGATCTTAAAATCTCAGTTTTGAATAACTCTTATAAAGCTTAAGTCTCCTTTATTCACTGTGCTTTTCTTACTAAACTCTGTAATGTGTTTTAATGTCTTATTATCCCTAGCTATTTTAACTCTCAGATGAATTCTTGCCATGCTTGCACATAGCTGACGCCAGGAATGCAAGTATTAATTAAGGATGGCCTAATTTATTTGTGCAGATGACCCACTTAGGGAACAGATGTAAAAACTACTGTAAAGTCCTCATCTGAAAGAATAGTTTTGCTGATAAAACATGATACTGAAATACAGTGGAGATGGGTCTTCTTGAAACCTACTCGCTTGGTGAACAAACAGCGTGATATTAAAAAACCTTTTCATTTGGCCTTTTTTTAGGCCACTTATGGTCGTGTCAAGGTTAAGTTTTTCTTGTTTCATTTTTCACTTCCGTTATTAAAGGCAAGCAGAAATTCCCCTCGTCTGTACATACTTGCGTGAGAAGGCGTTCAAAATTCCTTGAAATGTGAATTTTCAGATTTATCAAAAGCATTATTCTGACAGTAAGTAGTTCACCAGTCGTCACCAGTCAAGAGAAGGTCAGTGCACTGTGAGCAGACCCACCAACCCTGTAGGGAAAATCCGTGGGTGTTATATTACAGTGAGGCTGTCTTCAGGGTTAGAGTGAGTGCAGTCTAGGAGACTCGCCTGGTGTTTAGAATTCACTCTATATGCTCATAGACTCATCTGTCTTTAATAGCAGAAAAAGTCAGTATCAACAGAGAAAAGGTTTCTGTAGCATCACCTCGGCAAAGAATGAGTAAGTCTACTAAAATTAAATTAGGCCTTTAAAAATATTTTGTTGTGTTAGTGGCACAGAAGTTTTTTTTCTTCATTCTTTTGCTAAGGAAGATCTTGACTGATATTTTCCTACAACGTGGTTATCCACTTTCTTTGGACTGGAGCAGCTACATTGCATCCTAAATGTGACTTTAAGTGTCTGTTGTCCCTTCAGCAGTTGATATAATACTGTATATACTGTACAGTAGGTGTTGTCACCTTTTTCAGAATGGAAACCAGACTGTAGGCAGAGACTGACTCTGTGGCAGAGAATGCTCCGAGTGAATTTGTCAGCTCAGAGGTGTGTCTTAATACAGGCTATGTTTTCTATGTAGAATGATCTGCAGCGCGTTGAAAGCACAAAATCTGTATGGTTTTCAGTGCTGTGTTTTGGACAAGAATGTAAAACAAAAACCATCTCTAAACCCACATCCCGCTAGCAACACCTGCTTTCCAAGACTCGGTCTGTAACCGTAATAGTGGGCTTTGCTGTTTTATATTTCTGTCAGCGGGCAAAAATGTCTTTTAGGGTTTGTTACACAGCTGCGAAAACTGACAGCAAATCATGCGCTTTTAACGATTTGGGGTTCCTTTGAACGTTTTGGAAAACCCAGGGTGCCTCTTGGCGTATCGCACACTGGCTGCAGCTGTTTGTGTGGCTGCATTCTTTTTGAATTACTTGCACACTGTACATCCAGTGAAGATATTCTTTCCTTCATCTATCACTGGCGATACCAGCACCGAAGACAGCTGATCTAATGCCTTCTGTGATTTATTGTGGAGGTGCACCATGCGCCGGGGCGGATGGAAGAGTGAGTCATACTCGTTTCTGTGGTGCCACATGCTAATGATCAGCGCTGACCTCCTCTTCCTCTCCAGCGGTAATGAGGTGCAGCTGACTTTCCCAACAATGAAGCACCACACTCTCCTGGCGACTCATTCAGTAAAAAGGCAAAGCTGCCGGTGCTGGAGCTGTCCCAGCGTCTGCTAAGGGCATGTTTCTCATCTCATTATTTCACTTGGAGTAATGAGCTAATAGCCAGAGGTCCTTATGAATTTACTGAAGTTTACTATTTATTCAGCTGTGGTAAAGTAATGAAAACAGCTGTAAAAGTTCAGCATTTGTAGTCGTGTCTGTCCTTTATGTAAATGTAAGTAATTTCATGATCAGGGGTTTTACTTTGTTTTCTGAGAGATGCCAAACTACCAGATCATTTACCATTTAACAGATCCATCCACCCATTTTCTAAGTGCTTTATCCAATACATCTGCCCTATGATGGACTGGTGGCCCGTCCAGGGTGTACCCTGCCTTGTGCCCATTGCTTGCCTGGATAGACTCTGGCTCCCTTGTGACCCTGAGGTGGAAGAAGCAGTTAGAAGATGGATAATTTACCAGCAGCCATATCACCCTGCAACTCACAATTGGCAATCCACTGAAGCTCAGCAGGTGTGAGCCTAGTCAGTACCTGGATGGGAGACCTCCTGGGAAAAACTAAGGTTGCTGCTGGATGAGATGTCAGTGGGGCCAGCAGGGGGCTCTAACCCTGCGGCTCATGTGGGTCCTAATGCCCCAGTGTAGTGACGGGGACACTATACTGTAAACAGGCGCCGTCCTTCGGACGTAAAACCGAGGTCCTGACTCTCTGTGGTCATTAAAAATCCCAGGTTGTTTCTCGAAAAAGAGTTGGGGTGTACCCCGGCATCCTGGCCAAATTTCCCATCGGCCTTTATCAATCATGGCCTCCTAACAATCCCCCTCTATAAATTGGCTTAATTACTCTGCTCTCCTCCCCACTGATAGCTGATGTGTGGTGAGTGTTCTGGCGCACTATGGCTGCCGTCGCATCATCCAGGTGGGGCTGCACATTGGTGGTGGTGGAGGGGAGTCCCCATTACCTGTAAAGCGCTTTGAGTGGAGTGTCCAGAAAAGCGCTATATAAGTGTAAGCAATTATTATTATTATTATTATTATTATTATTATTATTATTATTATTATTATAATAAATAGTACATGCACTGCCTTACAAATGTTTCGGGACAGCCATTTTTTTATGTCCATAAAATCAAGCCGTTTGTGTCTATCACAAGGTTATTATAAATGAGAATAACAACTTTATTTACAACAACTTCTTTTAATTTTGGTCATATCTTTTGTCATATTAGAACAAAAACAGACTTAAAAAAAGCTCTGTCCTTGACATGTTTTGTCGTGTATTTGCTGCAGCCAGTTGGGGTTCTTGACTATTCTTGGGGGGTCGTGACAGTTTTTGACACTGAAAAGACGTGGTCAGTTTGATTAAAATCTAGTGATTGACTTGGCAAGTCTAAGATATTCCACTTTTTATCTCATAAAGAGCTCCCATTGCAAGGTGGCATTGACAGTATGTTCATGGCCTTGTTAACCAATAAGGATTTCTTTCTATATAAACAGACAAAAAGTTTCTGTAAATTCAGAAGCTAATGTTAAACTGGCTTTTCTGATCTTGGTGCTGATGAGAAGCTTACACTCATAGTGTAGCTTTGTAATTCTGCAGTCCCAGTCTTCTGCACACTGTGGACTTTATACCGGCACTTCAGAGATTGGGGGTTATTTCACTGATAGTTGTTTTAGGTTTTCCTTGACATCTCCTATTTATCTGTACATTAGATGTTTTTCTTGGCCAGTCTGATCTTGGCTGATTGGTAATAATACATTACCTGAGGGTATTTTCTTCCCCAATATGTTCCAAATTGGAATGCCCAATTTTTGTGTAGTGACTTTTTCTTTGTCTTTGAGCTTCACAATTGCCTGCTCTCCTCTGAAAGGAATAGGACAGTTTCTTTTTTTTTCATATTGACTTTCGACTGTGGACTCCAAACACTGCAGCCAAAAGCAAGACAGGTTGATAGACAGTCCGCAACTCTATCCTGAGTACCCGATTACCTAAAAACAAACTCCTGACTAAAATGAGACTCTGGTCTTCCAGTTGTCCCAATGTATTTTCTTCTTGAAAATAACGTTTCAATATTCAGTTTGTTTAATCGACCCAAGAGGGTAAAACTTAATTGGCTTCACTAAAAATAAAATACTTAGGAGTTCTACTTATAGGTCGTGTTTTATTTATAACATCTAAGTCCTAGGAGAACTCATAGTTAAAAAAAATACAGTTTTGACTTCACTATCCCAATTCTTTTGAAAGACACTCTACATATTTAGCTCTTAACTGTGTTAAGCTAACCGTATTAGTGTTAGTATTCTTGCCGTTTCTCTTTACTTGTGAGTGTAACAACACGGAAATGTCTAACTATCACCGCTGTTGAGTTAATACAAATGCACACAATCTCCGTTGTGCATTTTGGAAGTATCCAAATATGATTATGCAGTCTTTCAGTAATTGAGTTTTATAATACTGCTTAGATTTTGTATTTCAGAGGAAATTGGTTAGCTGTTTGTGTTCTCTGAGAGCCAGAATTTTTGCAAAACTAGAGCAAGATTTATTTTAGATCGTGTCTATCACCTACATTATTGTAGTCAAACTAGATTTATATTTTTTATAATGTTTTACTTATCAATCTAAACTGTTTATACTTTAAATATAAGGGATGCAGAGAACAAGAACATTTTACTGCACTAAGCCACTCTCAAATGTTCCCAGACATATGCATTTTACTTAATCTTTTTCCTGCATGTTCAGCGAAATCATCTTACAAAAGATCCGGAAATTATTTAATTTCGTTTACACGTCTAATCCAAAATAGTTTTTCCTGTCAGCAAGACCTGAGAGATTTACAAGACTGATTATCTTTTATAACCACTGAGCTCTCCACGTAATGGGTGGAGATATATAGTGAGCTTGATCTTTCTTTTTTCAGCAGTTTTCTTTTTTTCCAGTTATTCTTCCCTCCCAGTTTGGAATTGCCCAATGTGTGTTTTTTTAGGTCTGGGCTCAGTGGCAAACCCTGCCACTGTATAAACTCACAACGAATGAGGAATTGTACCAGGCTCTTTAGACCCTCCACCACCCCCCAGATGAGCCAGTCATCTTTTAATGCGTCTGTAGGGACATAACGGAGGTTCAGTACTGATTGAAGGAGAGGCGTGTCCCTCACTGTCAGCACCACAGGTGCTGAGAAAATAAAGGGGTCACATGGAGCTAAGAGAGGCTTTATTGATTAATCCCAGCCAGATCTACTGTAGTACTAGGGGAATGGTGTGGTACTGCTTGGAGAATCTGTCAGTTAATGACATGCTGTAGCTCAGGCTCAAACCCGCACATGACTGATGTTCGTAAAACCCAATCTTTGTTTGGGCAATTGTCTTTTATTGGTAGATCATCTTGGGAGCTCTCTTGGGATCATCCATCCTCCCATCCATCTTCTAACCTCTTCTTCCAATGCAGGGTCACATGGGGAGATGGATCTATGCCGGCAAGCAATGGGCTCAAGGCAGGGTACACCCTGGACGGGACGCCAGTCTATCACAGGGCACACACAGACGTGCACACGCTCACAACGGGGTGAATTTCCCAGAAGCCAGTTTATCGACCAGTATGTTTTTAGACTTCAGGAAGTAACCAGAGCACCAGAAGGAAATCCACATGAACACGCAGACTGTACGCAGATCACGCCCCCAGATCTGGAATTGAACCCAGGGCCCCAGCGCTGCGAGGCAGCCATGCTAACCACTGCACTACCATTTTGGGATTAGTCTTTCAAAAAACAACCTTCGTCTGTTTGGAGTATCTACAGTACTAAGGTTTTCCTAGTTGTCACTTTGATGACTCCTTGTCCTGGCCAAATTGATCAAGTTCTATTACATACAGTATACAGTAGTTCCGTTTTTGTCTGTGAAGGGTTTACCCCTATTTGTGATCTTTAGAGTTTTAAGTCATTTCTCCATCATTCACACCTCACGATACTGACTCTGCACTGTAACCTTTAAAACAGCAAAAGACACACTCCCATGCCATCAAGCTTGATTGCTTTTTTTAAAGTTTTAAATCTGGGATGAACAGCAGTGCTGTGAGTGTACAGTTCGAGCAGCTTAAAAATTCTCAGATTCCACTTGGTAATGTATATATCCAGAGCCCTGCCACATTTAGATGAGTGGCCTTCATGTAGAGATAACAAGGACAAATCTGAGTTCATTAAACACAGCAGTGTCTGGCATTTTGACCTTGTGCATTAAGGCTGATACTTACACCGCAGTGCTGAGTGAAACCTGGTGCTTATTTTTAATAATGACAGCACTGCATCACAGCAAACGCCTTATATACTGTTTGGATTTCACTTGTTTATTAAAAAATGATAATTATTCATTTGTTTGTCCAACAGGCTTCATCAAACACTATAAAAAGAGGTGAGGGTGGGGGATATGTGACAGGCTTTTCCTGAGCATTTCTTATATTTTATTAAATATATTTCAGTCATATTGTCATTTAATTGCATTTCACTGAACTTTATGTAATTATATGGATAGTTTTTTGGAATACTCCAATGGTTCCAAAACCTTGTTCACTTCTCCATTTTTAAATTAACATCTTTGTTTATTTCAGGTGGGTGGCTGCATCAGCATGCGTAGGCTGCAAAGGAACAAGTAATAGGTTTATTCCATGCTAAAAAGAGAAGAAAGAAAACACAACTGAGCTCACACCTGAAGAGAGCTCCACGGCCGAAACGTTGTGTTTTCTTTCTTCTCTTTTCAGCATGGAATAAACCTATCTTTGTTTATTGACCTTATTTGATTATAAACAGTTCTGGCTGGTTCTCAATCAACAACCTGATTCTGATTAATAAGTTTTTTTAAATATTCAGGCTGGCACATTTAAGTATCTGAATGTGTTGAAAAAGTGACCTTGAAGGTCAACCATGGTACTGTATAATAGCTAATTATAGGTGAAGAAAATAGAGATATCTTCTGCTTGCGATAGAAATACATTTATCACTTGAGCTACTCACATAGGCACCAATTAACAATTTTTTAATTAAATTTAGCATGTTGTTGTGCTTACAGCACGTTCTGACAAATTCTGTTTTTGTTAAACAAAATATTGAGGTCTACTGTATGTGCGTTAGGTAGGGCTCTTACTTTTTCAACATTAATAATAATAATTCCTTACACTTATATAGTGCTTTTCTGGACACTCCACTCTGGTAACACAGGTAATGAGGACTCACCTCCACCACCATTAATGTGCAGCCCCACCTGGATGATGCAACGGCAGCCATAGAGCGCCAGAACGCTCACCACACACCAGCTATCAGTGGGGAGGAGAGCAGAGTAATTAAGCCAATTTATAGAGGGGGATTGTTAGGAGGCCATGATTGATAAAGGCCGATGGGAAATTTGGCCAGGATGCCGGGGTACACCCCTACTCTTTTCGAGAAACAACCTGGGATTTTTAATGATCATAGAAAGTCAGGCCCTTGGTTTAACATTTCATCCGAAGGACGGCACCTTTTTTTTTTACAGTATAGTGTCCCATCACAATAGTGGGTCTTTAAGACCCACTCAGATCGCTGGGTGAGTGACCCTGCTGGCCCCACCTCTTCCAGTAGCAGCCTTAGTTTAGACCAGGAGGTCTTCCATCCAGGTACTGCAGTGGGCTGCCAGTTGTGAGTTGCAGGATGATTATTACTATTCCTTTGCTTAGCAGATGTGTTTAACTATGACATGTTACAGCACACTTGATAGTTCATACTGTAAAGTAATGATAGGACAGTAAAAATGATGCATACACAGTAAAAAAGAGTAATTAGATAAGAATGACCAATCAATGAGGAGGAAGACAGTGCAGTGTCTGTGCAAGGCACAGTGAAAACAGTGTGCATCGAGCAGTAAATAGTGTGGAGGCATGCAGTCATTGAATACAGTGAAGAAGGAATTGAGCAGATTGCAATATCAGTGGGTGGTAAAAGCTCATGACAGTGGGACTGAGATCACAGGTGCTGTCTCAACAGATGAGTCTCAAGGAGACATCGAAAGGTTGCTCAGCGACCGAGCAGTTCTGACTTCTTTGAGTAGTCTAAATCAGCAGTGTGGGGCAAAGGAGAAGAATGGGATCTCCTTTGAGGTGAGGGGATGGACAGGCAGGAGGAGGAGTTCAGAGGTCAGGCAAGGTGGGGGGTGAGGGAAGGATAAGAGACTGGAGACCAAACTGAATGAGAGTGATTAAGACAGCATTAGGCACCAACAAGCCTTTTGAAATGAACGCCTGCAGCTTCGGGAATCCAACGAAGGGACCAGAGTAACAGTGTAGCACAAGAAAAACAAAGTAAAAAAAAAAAGATAGATGAGCAACTTGCTTCTGAATGAGTTGGAGAGGTTGAATATGGCCCAGGGCCAGAACTGAAAGTTGTAAACATAAAGGAACAGTCATTCTTCTGCAGTTTGTATTTTAGTTTGAATTTTGTGTTTTCCTTCTTAATTAGTGCCCTCTCAGTAAAAATCTGAAACAAATCAGGCATTAACAATATTCAATAAATTGTTCCTTTGCAGTTAACAAGGGATAAACCTAAACTTGCAACAGCTCAGTCTGCACTGTCCAGTCTGTGGTTTGTATTGTTAAGGTTTCAGACTTTGGAATCTGTCCGAATTTCTTTCAGTAAGCACATTCTGCATGAAGACTTGTTAGAATTGTCACAAAAAATACAACGTTCTTTTCCTTTTCTCGTTTAGTGGATATCACGATTTTATAAAAGCCAGAATATGAAAAAGGATGTTGAATGCAAATTTGAATATCATATAACCTAACAAATGCATTCTTAATTTAGATATGCATTAGGCCATATAGGAAATGTTTGCTAAAGTTGTAAAAGATTTGTGCCGTCTTAATGTTTTGCTCATATTTATGGTTTCATGCAAACTTGATATAAAGATTTGTGAATTTCTTATATTTAAGGAACTTCAATGGAACTTGTGCTTGTTGTAACAGCAGATGTCTGCTCCTATTCCAGGAATAGAAAATCTCTATGAGAGAGCTCTGTACATCCGCAAGATTCTGCTGACAGTGCCCAGGTCTGTCCTTATAGTGATGAGATACCTCTTTGCCTTCCTCAATCAGTAAGTATCTGTGCTAATTATGTCCAGTCAATCACAGCTGTTTCCTGTGCTTCAGTGTAAAGCAAACATAAATTATTTGTAATTGTATGTAAAGAGGTTGAGCTATTAATTTGTAGACTGAGCAGTACAGGGACAAGCTAACAAAGTTTTATATATCGGAAGTTAAAATTATTGTGTCTTTATTATTCTCACTCTTTCTGTAGAGTGAAAAAATGCTAGAAATCATTCTGGCAAAATTCACGCCATACGAGTCACTGAAGGGGGATTCTTAAATACTGCAACAATTCCTTTATTCTTCCAGTTTAGAGGTAGTTGTGGCCAGCTTAAATCTATTAGTGACTTGCTTTTTTATGTCTTAAAAACCTAATACTCCATAATTTAATTTTTAACTGCAATGTGTATATATTTAAATAAATTGGCTTTGTATAGGTTGATCAGCATCCGATTCAGTGCACAAATGAGTATCCAAAGAGAAACAGGTACCATACCGAAGAGCTAGATGTGTAAGGGAGATATGAATAGATCAAAACTCAAAATGGTCACTCCTGTGCTTCGTACACGTCTCATTACAAGTAACATGTTTACATTACTTACAAGTAAAACTTGTTCATATAGAACTGATAAAACAACATTGCTAGCATGTCCTTAGCAGAGTATACACAAGCAAGATTACTTTCACTACTGTACCCACAGCCCTTTACAAATCAGGAAGGTGCATTACCAGCTGTTTTTTTAATGATCAATGAGCGCTGTGCATTCTATCTTTAAAATAATTATACCACCTTTTTTTTGCATTCGGCAACACCAAGTAAGAGAAGAAGAAAAAATGACACATCACTAATGCAAAAATAAAGAACTTTTAAATAGTGTGGAATTTCTTTTAATGATTCCATTGATCCATAATGCCCTGTAAATGAAAGAATATTTAGATGACCATAAATTTGGAATTCTTTTTTTAAAATGTTGGCCTTTTAACAGTTATGCTCTATATTCAGGTATGGTCGAAATTATACCCAAGTTACAGTGTGTCCATCACGCGTACCACCCATTGAAGCAATCTTTTCCTTTCCTAACTTTTCTGTGTTAACACAGCTTGTCACAGTACAGTGATGAAAACATGATGGACCCCTACAACTTGGCCATCTGCTTTGGTCCCACCTTGATGCCTGTGCCGGACATCCAAGACCAAGTCTCCTGCCAGGCACATGTGAATGAGATCATCAAGACCATCATCATTCACCATGAGACCATTTTTCCAGACGCCAAGGAGCTGGATGGCCCAGTGTACGAGAAATGCATGGCTGGAGATGACTACTGGTAAGTATTTTATAATGTGAGTTTTCACAGACCAACTTAGTAGACACACATTTGCTACCCTTGGAAGGTACAGTATGAGCATAGGAAAAATCACTGTTCTTTCAAAATTAGTGTGGGACCTGTCCATTGGGAACATTTTTAATGTTAACGTTTAATACTTTTCTAATTAAACCTTTAATAATTACTACTGCGTAGGAAGCATTTCTTGGCATCATTAATAATTGTCATCAGCATTGGCAAAGATGTTTTTTCCCAGGTACTTTTTGAAATAGATCTCCTCCATCCATCTTGTCCATCTTTAAAGGCAGCCTCATGTTCTCCAGGCTTCTGAGAAGCTCTTAGCTGTGTCTACTTTACAACTGGAGGATTAAATATAGCCATGCCTAATTACATGTCTCAGATCAGCTCAGTCCCAAGACATTGCACTCCAGACACGTGCGGCCCCGTTTGTCATATTTCCTTCTTTGAGGAAAAGCCGACAGTTGAAGAACTCTTAAGTCTCCGTCTGCTGTAAACACTGAAGAAGCGATGGCATTAATGCCATTCCTGTCGTTTCTCATAATACATTTGGATTACTTCTGCTGTCTACTAGAAGGGATTAAAATTTTGTGTCAAGTAAATATAGAATTAGTCTGAAATTCAAGGCAAGTGTCACAGTGGTGCATGTCATGAAACTCTCAATACGCTCAATATTTCTCCTCGTGCCTGTTTTGGGAGTTATTATGAGCTGACAGCACTCGTGGGTTAATGGCTGATATAAATGGTTCACATTTTGATGACACATCAGAATCTGATAATTATTCTTTTTGTTCAGAGTTGATTAGTCACCTGCAGTATATGAAATGGAAAGTGAGATATGAAGGGTTGCTAACACGTGTTTGCACATTACAGAAGGTAGCTGATTGCTGCAAAACTGAAGACTGTGTAGAATGATATGCACAATCTGCAGTTTACCTGAAAATTAACTAAGGGCTTTAAAAGATGGCCAGTGTTCAAGATCCAGTCAAGAAATAAACATTTCTCTTTGACATATGAGAGGATGAAAGTTGCTATTTATTGCATTACGTTACACATCAATTTTCTTCTTGATGCATTTTCTTAAAAAAAGGTTCTTTCATCATTAAGATGTGTTATTACTAGGGTAGTTTGTAAAGCTACAACTGATGTTCATTATTCCAGCGATGGTGCTCATACCCATATATTTAGGATCTGTATGTGTATCTTGATTCATGTTTTAGTTTTTTATTCCTATAGGGTTGCAAGCATTGATGTTAGCACCCTACAGTATGTCTTACACATATTTAATTGAAATCTTACTACTCAGCAGGAAGAAATCAGTTCAGTAAGATTTCAGCTATGCCAAGCAAAAAAATAATTAGTATTATTCGATCCAGTGCCCTCCATACATTTGTCTTCGACTGATTACATTGTTTCTATTATTTTGTTATATTGCCTTGATTTTGTGTAAACTACTGGTACTTGATTTTGCAGCAGTTGGGCTTACATCTTCATGTTTGCTTTGAAAGGACACTGTAATACCATAAAAAATTCTGTTTGTCCCTTGCAGCGATAGTCCCTACAGCGAGCATGGCACATTGGAAGAGGTGGATCAGGATGGAGAGACGGAGCCCCGCACCAGTGACGATGGTATGTTCCCATCAGCCTGTCTGCACTGGGGATCTGACCTGACTGGAAACTCTCGGACTCTGATGTGTGTGTTGCCCTGTCCTGTTCCCACTCTGCACAATTTATGGCAGCATCAAACAAATGATGATAAATTGTGCTTTAGAGGTAATGAGGACACCCACCACTGACACCAATGTGTAGCCACACCTGGATGATGCAACGGCAGCCTTAGTGCGCCAGTATACTCACATCACCTATCAGTGAGGATAGGCAATTCATAAATGGGGATTATTAGGAGGCCATGATTGGTAAAGGCCAGGGGGAAATTTGGCCAGGACGCTGGGGTAACACTCCTACTCTTTTCGAGAAACGCCCTGGGATTTTTAGGGCCCACATAGACAGCAGGATGAGCGCCCCCTACTGGTCCTGGTAACACTTCTTCGAGCAGCAACCTTAGTTTTTCTCAGGAAGTCTCCCATCGAGGTACCAGCCAGGCTCAAACCTGCTGGGTGTGAGTTATGTACATTTTGTTCAACACTCAACACAAAACAATGTTGCCGTTCTGTTCTGACATCAGTCCAAAGAAGGGAGACTGCGCACATTCCTGGGCATAAAGAAATGTTGAAAAAAGATCTTGAAGTCTCCAGTCATCTGCGAGTTTTGGATAATGAAGTGATAGTGCATGCTAATGATGTTCTCAAAAAGAGTAGGGGTGTTACCCCAGCTTTCTGCCCCAACTTCCCCCTGGACTTTACCAATCATGGCCTTCTAATAATTCCCATCTAATGAATTGTCTTCATCACACTGTTTTCCTCTCAATTGATAGATGAGTGTACTGGCGCACTTTGGCTGCCGTCGCATCATCCAGGTGAGGGGGCTACACATACTGGTGCTTGATTCTTATTTGCAGGTCCTCCACCAAATAACTACACACTTTCTGAATTGAATTGCAAATTCAAATTCAAATAAAACAAAACTAAGCTTCACCCATGACTGAATATGTAGCAAGAAGAGTTGGCTGCTTCTTTTTTTTGTGAATGTAAGATCAAAGCCCCCACTGAGAGATGGAACTGAACCAGTTTTCACACAGGGACATGGGATATCAGATTACTTTGTTTAATAAATAAATGAAACAAGCACCAGAATTCTGGTGTTATTTGTTGACTTAGACTCCTTTTATGTACTGTTATCACTAGGTCACACAAGAAGCTCTGCTAATATTCAGTGGCAAAAAACAGGCAACTATTTGGATAATTTGAAAGGAAGTGAGCACTTTTTCACAGAACTGTACTGTATATCCTCTGAAGGTGGCATCCTCAGCGTTTTCCACTTTGTATTGTATTCATTGTCCACTTGGGATTTGTGGTGTGTGACCCATAACACAGATCTACAGCTTTGCAAGGCAGGCCAGGTCTTTGTTGTTGTAACTGTTGTGCTAGCATATACAGTTGGAGTCCAAGAGGAGTAAAGCCTGTTGACAGTACATTGACGTTTTCCCTGTCTGAGTCCTGGAAACCTGTTCACAGCACTGGTTTTTGTTTTTTCGTGTCAGTATATTTTCAGGATTTCACTTTGCCTGGCTTTTACTTTTGCAGACAGTTGGCGTGTCTGTAGATTGAAGAACTTGGTTATAGTTAATATACTAAATGCTGGTTTGAGTGAAAAACCTGAATTATTTGTGCTGTATGGAGTTGATCAGCTCTGGAGGATTAAAAGTCTTCCTTTTTTCTCTGGTTTCCTGTGGCTGAGTGTACTGTTACATGATCATTCTTATACCACAAGTAAAATGATGTGCATAACTGTACAGCATAATAGTTTTGGTTGACTCAAGTTAGGTTTTAAAAAGGTTGGAAATAGTGTGACATTTTTAGGGGAAAAGTACATCATTGTACCCCGGTAAACATTCTTAACCTTTACTTTTCCTGATCATGGGAACCATATTAAAAGAAGTTGTGTTTGTGGATAAAGTATGAGCGTCTTTAAAGTCTTTGGAGATAGAGAGGGAGAACTTGAACAAAGCAAGAGGAACATCTTTTTTTTTTCAGAACGAGAAGTGATTTAAAATGTTTGTAGTCTGGTCTGGCTTTGTAGCCTCTCACTGGGGGGATTCTCTTCCAAGTCAAACAGAATGAGTCATTGCATCAGTGGGCTACGTAAAGGTCAGATAGAATGTATGCAGGAGAAGTCGGAGTCCATTCTTCTTCAAAAATAATGGGCGTTGCTGAAATGTCAGAGTTCAGCAATCACAGCTCTTGAAAGGGCAGAGCGCTGACAGTCTGAACAATAGAGCTCCCTCTCTGGATTCTGCAGTGGGCTGTTCCCACCGGTGTGAGATGGAACCCTGTTTCCATGGCAATAACAGCTGAAGAAATTCCATTTCCCATGAGCCTGTGGTCTAAAGATCCATTTCAGCAAAACCAGTTGTGTGCACTCATGCTCTTTGTTCTTGCATTTTTGCCAGATTTGTTTCCTTAAGTGTTCAATGAGCTTGTCCCTTTGTATGCACTTCCTCCCTGCATGAAACGGTGCTGTTTCTCTGATATTTTCTTGTCCAAATGTGCCTCAGTGAATCAAAATATTTGTTTTTGTATGAGTCAAAATATTCAAACAGGTGTAGTAATCATTTTTTAAAATCTAAAATAGCATGAGCATTCAAATGAAGTAACGGAAGAAAAAAACTAAAATTAGTTAACTATTATTTGCTTTAAAACATCAGACAAATGGCTCTGTTGTAGTGCACACATTTCTTAAAGCACACTTCATTAACCTAGTCTTATGCTTCTGTGGTTTTATACAAAACCTAATTCCTGGCTGGGTGGTAATGGCTGACTTTTCTCTCATCGAGGATTGATTTTTTTTGTCTACAGGCTGTTTAAGTCAGTTGTTGCCAGGGAAGTGTTTGAAATAAACAGGGAAAGATTGAGTCCAGCACTGGTTTTATGCTCATTGGACTGAGTTACTTCATGAGAATCAAATTTCTAAAGCCTGTATTTTTTCACTAACCCTGGTGTACTGCTGCATTTATCTACCACAAAACAGCCAGACTATCAGTCCCCTATCAGTCACAGGTCAGCTACAGTTGATGAAATTAGTGACGCGCTTCAAGTTTTCAAGAGCTGGTTGTGCCTTTTCCCCTCAAAGCAAAAGCAGCAGTCTGCTTTGTCGTCTTACAGTGGATGGAACTGTTTATGATTTCTCTGTATTGGCAGAAAAGATATTGAAGTGAAGAGTAAATTATTCATAATGTTTCTCTTAAGTGCTGGATCAGAAGGCCTAACTGGCACATTAAGTGGAGATGTCCTGTGGGAAAGAGTGCCTGTCAAAGTTTTCTTCAGAATTAAATTTCTGGGAGGTTTTCAAACTTTGATAACTCTAATTGATTTCACTGTGGAATCTGAGAAAAGGATGCTTTATTTCAACCTAGGCTTTATTAGCATCTCAGAGGCCCTATAATTGTTTGTTTTGAAATTATGGGGAAAAAAATGTTGAAATAGGTTTAGATATTAATACTAATAAGAATAGTAAGAAGCATAACCTGACTTATTTGCCTTGTATAATTTACATCCCACATGTTAAAGCTTTGTCAACAATGTCATGTGATTTTATTCATAAAGCTGTTCCATTTAAAGGTTATTTAAACATAATCAGAAACAATTTTTTCAGTAGCTCCCTCTAACTTGTATTGAGGCTTTAATACACTATGTAGTTTACATCCGATTTTACTGCATCATTATCTCATTGTTTTTTTATAATTATATCACCATAGTATCCTCTTTGATCATACTGTATTGGATCACAAGGCTTTGTTCTCAGTTATGATGTGACCGACCTGCACTAGTATCCAATCAGGAGACAAGGAGCAGCCAATGAATTCTATATAGTGAGCATAAAAAAATCAGACTACGTGTGAATGTGTAAAAAAACGTATCTGAATTCCGCTTAACGATTATACAGTATGTTTCTGGCATCATGTTGATTAGTTGATTATTCATGACCAACTCTTATATGCTCAAATGACTTTGATTGTTGTGGGAGCGCTAAATTACCTCCTTAGTGAGAGAACTGATTGGGCAGAGGTGATGAGGCTCTTTTTAATAGCTGCAAACTTTTTTTTAATGCTGCTTAATGTAGAAAAATGCTGTATTCTAATGATAGGAGAAATAAAAGGGTTTTGTGGTTGAAATGTATGTTCAAACTTAGTACTTATAATGAAATGTCTGATATAACAGCAAAATCACTCTACATTTTATTTGTCCTGCATCTCATGTAAGGATCTCATACTGTCACTCAACAGGACCTTTTTTTGACAGTAAAAATGCCAACACCGGCATTCAAAATATTGTGTCTGATGTCTTAAAAAAAGTTTTCTTTTTTCCTTTGGAGTTTGTACTGTACATCGATCTTCTCCTATGGAGCCATACAGAGAGGTGGTCAAGGAAGCCATATTGACTTTCAGTGTAGTGACTCAGACTGTTGGATTTGTCCATCGCAGGAAAAAAGATTTTCATCATTAAAAAGTGAGAGAATCCTGTCCTTCAGATGTGCGTTCTCTTGGTGTTTAACAGCCTGTAGCACAGCACTGCGTGAGCTTTCAAGCTGTTTCCAAGATGGCGTTCAAACGTTTTTGCTTTCAGTTTAAAGTACAGTTCAGTTTTCAGACCTCAGGTGCTTAATTAAAGGTAAAGAACGTACATTTTAACTTTCCTTGCCTGTGCCACCTCTTGCTACATTAACACTTTAAACATACACTTGGCGCAGGATCAATTTTGTTCTGTGCAAATAGCTTTGAAAATAGACAAGTGGATGCTGAAAGTTTATATATGAATTTTCACTGTTGTTCAATTTCTTGGCTTGTAGCTTCATTGACGACTGAACAATAGCTACACAGAAAGCAACATAGCTCCTTTAAATCTAGATGATGTTTTTCATGAAATGAGTGGTGTTAAGCAGTTCATGTCTGGTCTTCTTCATGTTTTAATTAATGTGTATCATTTCATAGATCTAATACCAGATGCTGCATTAATCAGAATTTGCTGTTGTATGTGGTCTGTGTATAAATATTCACAAAGGGGTTTCAGCATAAATCTCAAACATTTTTTCATGGTTTCCTGTCATTTTTAAATTTACTGAAAGGGGATACTTCTCTGAAAGCAGATTTTAAACTGACTTTTCTCCCTTTGGTGTTTTACTAAGATTCTGCTTGTCCTTCCCTTACGTACATAAGTAGACACAAAGAAGATTACAGCTCAGTAACCTTTTGTGTGCATAATAATGCATTTGGTTAGTGTGTATGTTTTCTGGTAAAATGGAGCTTTTAGTGCTTTCCTGTTGTTTCTTTTACAACTAGCCCAATAATAAGAAAGAGTATCCTATAACCTTTAGCTTGAAGATGACTTTATTGATTTCATGTCCACTAAATTTGTTGGAAGACTGACTGAAACGAGGATGTCCATGTTTAGACAGATAAAATTAGGGTTTTCACATCCCATTGACTTGCCATTCCCTAATAACTCCTGTTCACCGAGGCAGAGATGAACTAGTTTTCCTCAGTTAATGGTCAAGGTGTCATGAACACTACGTGGGCTCTGTTGACATCGAAAGAGAATATGTCAAGATATTGTGTACACAATTTTTTATCGTTTATCATCAATCGTTGATGCCTTAGGGGAGGTGTTTTAGAATGTCTATGGCCAAGAAAAATACAATATATACAAGAAATCCTTTGTTCCCTGTACAATCAGTACAGTATATTAAACGCAGCTAAGTGACTTTTTAGTGTGTGGAGATATTGGATTGTATGTGATAGTAGATGAATGTATATGTACTGTGTGGTGTTTATGACTATTGTTTGTTTTTAATGTGTATTTATTTTATGTTGAGTGTTTTTTTTTGTACTTTTGTATGGTGATGGCAAACGCACCCAAAAAAACCCTTTTGGAGAGACAATAAAGTAATATCTTATCTTAGAAGGCATAATATTTTACTCTTTAAACAAATAATGATCACAGCAGCAGTACGTGACAATTCTACTGGAATTGAGATGACGTGAGCAGATGTGTTTGTCTCCTAGGCTGCATCGATCTATGTGTGAATTATTGCATTTAGGATTGCAAACAAAGGTGTGCAAATCTTTTGCCGACATCTGTATTTGCTTATTTCAGTTTATTGAAGCACCTATAGTTTTCAAGTACCCAATGCCACCATTAATTTAAAATGAGCACATTTCCTCCAAAATAAATGGTAGGGTATTTAGCATTTTCAAAGTGCAGTTACTGACTGCAAGGGTTACAAATTTGATGGGGTTTTTTCCTGCACGCATTTATGGATAAACCTGTGGATTCTTTCTTTTTTCTTCTTCCTCCAGAATGTGAGCCGATTGAAGCAATAGCCAAGTTTGATTACATTGGCAGGTCCGCCCGGGAGCTGTCTTTCAAGAAAGGTGCATCACTCCTTCTCTACCAGCGGGCTTCAGATGACTGGTGGGAGGGCAGACACAATGGGATTGATGGACTGGTACCACATCAGTACATAGTGGTTCAAGATATGTAAGTGCTTTTCATTTTTCCATCCATCCATTGTCTAACCGCTGATATCCGTTTCTTGCCAAGGAAAGCTGGAGCCTATACCAGCAAGCAATGGGCACAAGGAAATATACACTCTGGATGGGACGCCATACAAAGACATAAACACATTTACTCACACCTAGACCCATTTTCCTTGAAGCCAATTAAACTACCAGTATATCTTTGGACACTAGGAGCAAACAAGAGAATCCATAGGACCCGTGTGAATATGGGGAGAACGTACAAACTCCACACAGACAGCATCCCAGAAGCTGAACCTTTGAACCCAGGCATTTAGCAATGCAAAGCAGGAATGCTAACCATGGCACCACCATGTCACTCTCTTTTGCTCAATCAAGTTTTTAATTGAAAAAGATTGTGAATATTAACCCTTGCTTGGTGAAGCCAGTGGTGGTTTTTGCTTTGTCTCTTTTGTAATGCCAGAAGTAGAGTACATGATTAAGGATTCACTACAAAGAGAAACAACTTAGCAGTAAGGAACCTCTTGAATGGAGAATGGCGTTGTGCGTTGTATCTCTCTCCAGCGAGTGGCTGGCAAGAAAGAGCAGTACGTTAATAACAGCATTGTAGGGTGTAGTTCACAGCCTTTTTCAGTTTGTGTTTTGCTAGTGTTTATATTTTCCAGTAGGCTTACATGTAACGGATCTCCTAGCGTGTAATGGGCGATTCTCAGCAGTGTCAACATGTCTCACTAATAGGAGGACAGCCTTTGGCTGAGCCCTTTGTTTGCACTTTTTAGGCACTGTGAACTGCCTGTGAATTATCCGAAAGGCAGCATATCAAATTCTAGGTTTGACCACTCTGTAATGATCTGGAGACTGCTTACTGTATGGATAAAGAAAGGTCACAGGACTATAATGTCTATAACAGGCCTGTAATATATTATATGAGACAGTTAGGGTAGTCTTCACTCACTGGGGTTCCCAGACAGCACTGAAGTCTTCCACAGTGGGAGGCCAGCATTTTAGTACTGTACATGTCTGTTGTTTTCATGAGTTGTGTGTATCAGGTGTAGGGAATTTCCTGTGAAAGACCAAAGATCAAATCCTAGGTCCCAACACACACACACACTACATATAAAAAGATCTCAAAATACAGCTACTCTATTGTTGCCCAAAAGTGAAAGTTTTGCCTGTAGGGCCAGATAATATAAATTAAAATAATTTTATTTCTCTAGGGAGCTGAAGTAAGCTTGGGAGAAGGCTTTAGGAGATGTTTGGTTCCATCATTTTTATATCTTTTTACTTTCCTTTAAAGAGATATTTGTGAGGCCAATAGGCATTTTATTTTTTATATTCTCATAAAGGTTTCTAACTCACTCCCATAACTTGTTGAGCCCAAGGGAAAGTGTCCTTTTTTCCCATGGGAAAGAGATGACTTTCTCACTTTGGTAAGATCTGTTAGGACCATTTTCTCTCTAATAATGTAAAGTTGATATCTAGGGTACTAAGTTGCTTAATGTACCTCTCTTCTTGGAAATGAGTTTGGTGTCCCTTTTATTATCAGTGTTTAGAAAAAAAAAACACCTTCATTTCTCATGGCTTTGTATAGTTTTCTGAGCATTAATTTTCTTTTTCTATATCATTTTCCAAGTCTTATCTCTTGTCTTAATAAGATTGTTAAATAAAGTTGTGTATGAATTAATACCTATACAGCTATTGTACTGTTTCTTCATGGTCAGGTAGAAGCTGCTAATGGTTTCTGTAGCTCTGCAGATGAAAGTGGAAAGGCCTATCATTGAGGACAGTTGAGCTTTTGTGCCCACCTTCATTTTTCACTTAATATTGCTTCATCTCCGAAATTCTTGGCAGTCTGTAGTGTTGCTTTCAGTGCAATTATAGCTCCTCACTGCTCTGTGTAGTACTCTGAGACTTTTAAAAGCACCTCTGTAATTGGCAGAAAATAGTGAGTTCCAAGGGCAGGGTGTTCTGTTTTTAACAACATTAGTTGCTGAGTTGAGTGCGTTTGATGACAACTTATAGATGTGAGTTCTTACAATAGGCCACAACGTTTTTTTTCTTGTGATTGAGCACTGAGGTTCCCTTACGGCGGCTGTGGCTCGTCGCAGCTGGAATTAGAAGAATTATTTTTACCATGTTGATTTGAAACTCACATCACATGAGTAAGTGTTCAAAATAATGAGTCTCGGGTCATTAAGGTAGTGGCGGGCAGGGAAATTTCCTGTCAGTCCTAGAGTACAGCGAAAGATGAATTTATGCAAACATGTACTCCAGTAACAGTTAAAAATACTTTTACTTCCAGTCCTCCCTAAACTTTAAGACTACCTGTGGAAGATGAGTATGTCTGTAAAAAGAGGACTTAATGGTACTTAGTATGACTATATTGACAATTTTATTTGTTGCTTAAGAAGTCTTAGCTGAAATTAGGGATAGATTATTTTTTCCCCTTGAAATTATGGGAAGATAAACATACTGTACTCATACTGTGGGAATTTGGTAGAATGGAGCTGACACCATGACTGTCCGTTTGGGTGCTTCTCCTCTCACCTTTTCTTGACTTCTTATGATGGAAAGTAGAGAGAAGGAAATCATTTTTACAAGTATATATAATATTTTGAGTAGTGTCCTCTTGAAGGTAAATGTTTTCATGGCAAACAGAATCCTAACGACGAGATATGGTATGACACAGGCAATGTGAATATATGCATACAGTACGTGCAGCATATGAACCCACCTCCTTCTTAATCTGTGAATTCGGTCCTGCACAACACTGCCATTGAGGGTTTTCTATGCCATGAAGTGTGCAGTCTTTGTACAAAGTTCAAACAACTGTTGGATCTTTAATCTCACATATGTGGAAGTGATTAAGGCTGGCTGTCCATATTGTCTGATTTAAATAGGAATGACTCTTTAGGAATGAGCTTCCTTGCTAAGCAGATCTGATTACCATGAAATAACAGCAGTACAAGAGCACAAGTCCATTAATCACAGCCATGCGTATTAGTGTATTCTCAGAGGTGAACGGTAAATCCGTCACAGAGGAATGTGTTATGATTTATAAAACACAGCCACGCTCCACAAATATCTAGAGGAAAGAAAAGAAAGGATGTACACCCGTATCTCTTTTTACATATGTTCTTTTTTTAATGAAAATGCGATACTTCTAAGCATGTGACTTGTTACCCACATGTTGGATAGCGAAAGCCAGCTTCGAAACTAGAAAGAATCCAAAGAAAAACTTCGAAAAAGTCTGTCAAATGTAGAGTGAAGGAGAAGGCATCAAACAACTTGAGACATGTGTGATATAGTTTACCGCATCTTGCTTCATGTGTTGTTTGCTGTTGTGTGCGGTCTTACTTTTCATAAGAATATTTGTGGTTAAGACCTTTTTTGTGGGCCCTAAAGGTGTTAAGAAAATAAAAATTGTGAAAGTGTGTGCGATTACACAAAAAGCAAATAAAGTGGTTACTGTACTTAGGTATGATTAATGATGTCTAACTAGGTAAGCAGTGTTTTTTATTTCTAAAAGCACAAAACACAGTATGAATGTGTTATTATTGTTGTTCCTTTGGTATTTTTTAGTGAAATTACGGATCATAATTTATCCCCCTAAGAAATAATGGAAATGTTTTTTTAAGAAGTTTTCGCTCTAAAAAAAAGGTTCTTCTGGGAGTTCATTCCGTTTGTAAAAAGAGGTACGGGGATATTGCCAAAAAAACCCAGCAACACCACGGATTTTGTGCTTCATTGTTTTTGTTTTTTTCCTCTCGGCTGCACAGTACGATCCTATTCCTGTTTCACATGTGTCACTCTCCTTTTTCCTTTTCAGGGACGATACGTTTTCGGATTCTCTGAGTCTGAAAACGGACAGCGAGGCCAGCAGTGGACCAGTGGCTGAGGACAAATGTTCCTCCAAGGATATCAGCTCTCCCACAGAGCGACTCCCTGAGAGTTTTGTCAGCAGGTGACTGAATTCCTTATCACCTCTATTTTCCATCACTAGCAGAGCAGTCAGTGCACAACCCTGATGCAAAGCCACAATCTCTTGGAAAGAATGTCTGTGGTATTCAATAGTCCAAGGTTACAGTCATTGATTGTGGCTTAAAATAATGATTTGCAGGACAATTAAAGAGATGTATCCCACTCCATTATTGCTTAATTAGCCATTTACATTGAAATAATTCCAGTCCAGGAGAAAGGCATTCTGAAAATGGATGCTGGGTAGATACTTCCCCTTGCTTTTGGATTCGTGAAATGGAGCTTCTAAAACATTGTTTAGAGAGTTGTGTTTCATGTATCCGAAAGGAAAAATGTGTTGCTGCTGCAGTTCCCCTCAAATGAGACTACCCAGCCTAACATCCAGCTGAGAAAGAGCGAGACAACCATTTCTAAGAGCTATAAAAACATCCATCTGTCCATTTTTCTAACCACTTCGTCCAATTCAGGATCGCGGGACAGCTAGAGCCTATCCCGTAAGCAACGGGCACAAGCCAGGATTCATCCTGGGTGGGTCACCAGTCCATCACAAGGCACACACGGACACAAACACAGAGACACTCACACCAGGGCCAATTTTCCCAAATGCCAGTTGACCCACCAGCATGTATTTGGACTCTGCTGATCCTAGAGCCCCATTGCTGCTAGGCAGCACTGATATCCAGTGTGCAGCACCTGTGACATTATGAAAACAGACAGAAGATTACCCAAATCAAAGTCCACAAGTCATTTAAAATCTGCAATAGTCTTGCTGGGAAATAAATTCTATAAACCTCTGTGTCAAGAATGTTAAAGAATAAGGAGATATAAGGTCTCATTTATAGCACATGGGGTGGTATTTCTGTGCTCAGGATGTGGAATTGCTTCACTGACAACATGTCAGACAAAACCGTTCTCTTTTGACCTCTCTACACCTTTTCCATTGTGCGCTTCATAATGACAAAATCCGAACTGAATAAAAAAAGGCAATGATGGTCTGCTTGAGAAGCTTTGGATTATGAATGGAATGGATCTCCAGATGCTGGCATATTGCTAAAGATGAGTTTTTTCTCCAATTTCGTTTTGGAAATTTGGATTCATTCCTTGTGCAGATGCGATGATTTTCATATTAGATATGAAACAAAAAGTGGAATATTTAAATGGAGAAATACACATAAATAAAGTCAGGGATCCCTAATGTGGGTTGTATTACCTATTTAAATGGCATTTATGCTAAACTGCCTCTGTAAATCGTGCAGTAAGTGGCACTAACAAGCACTGAAATGAGGGCTTCCAATATGTTCTAGGATAAGCCCAGCGAGGAAAAAATGAATTGGATAGACTTAAGAGTTTTCAATTACATTGGTACTGTATAATGTGCAAAGCAAAATAATAGAAATGGAGAAATTAATCTACAACCATGTCAAAAAAATTGGGATGACTTTGTCGGTGCCTTTGAAGGTTTTATATCCATCTATACTTTTTGTGTCCCTCTGTAGTCCTATCTTTCCAAGACTGGGGAAAAAAAAGGTCTGGTTCTTTTAGCCCATCAGTGTAGGATATTCCTTTGATCCCAGGAATGTATTTAATTGCTGACTGATTCCAGGGCACAATGGTCTTGGTAACTAAACTTGTGCACAGTACACTAAATTAGTACAGTTTAGTAGAAATTTAATTTAATTTCTGTACTTTAACTACAGTATATATCCAAACAATTGCCTGTTTATTGCTTTCCCGCATATCCTTGACTATGAAAATAATGTCAGCATAAACCTCTTGAGTCTTTCTCATTAGTAGCCTCTTAAAGGTGACTGTTTCCTAGTTGATATTTGTCTCCTAGTTTTATATAATCTACAAACACACCTTCAGTGCTACAAACAGTTTTTTCAGCTGTTCTTTTTAAAGCCAGTTTATAAAGTTCATTTAATAATAATAATTTGAGTGGACACTCCACTCAAAGCGCTTTACAGGTAATGGGGACTGGATGACCTGGATAATGTGATGGCAGCCATAGTGTGCCAGAACGCTCACCACACATCAGCTATCAGTGGGGAGGAGAGCAGAGTAATGTAGCCAATACATAGATGGGGATTATTAGGGAGCCATGTTTGGTAAAGGCCAAAGGGAAATTTGGCCTGGACGCTGGGGTTACACCCCTACTCTTTTCGAGAAACGTCCTGGGATTTTTAATGACCACAGAGAGTCGGGACCTCGGCTTTACGTCTCATCCGAAGGACGGATTTGAGTATAGAAATAGTCTTGGCCCTATATTCACACACTCCCAAGCTAATGCTTCTTGTAATAGCAGAATTAGTATCTAGATGAAGTACCAACAAATATCTAAACTAAAACCAAAGTGAAATAGAACTCAAGAATGTGTGGAAATGAGAGACTGCAGTAAGCAGCTCACATGTCCTAATGTCCTATGGAACAAACTAGGTAAATGTGTTTCTTTGGCTATCGGGATGCTTTCTAAGTGTGATGGCAGTGTGTTCTGCTCTTCCCTGCTGTATGACTGGGGAACATGTGTTCATCAATTTAGACTTGCCACCTGAGGAGAAATGAAAAGATTATTTTTAATTTATAGAGCACTTATTCAGTTGTTATAGATTTATATTTTTACTGTAAAAAAAGTAATGGTCCCTATGCTTCAAAGGTTTGTTTTCGTGGTTGTAGTGATATTGTTTCTCCGTCGGTCTCCACTGAATCTGCCCTTCTCAAATGCATTTCCGGGATTCTGCGTTTTATAAGTGACTTTCAGCACATACTGCTGTCAGCTCTCAGAAAAGATCACCTTGAATGTAACACTGCAGATCACAGTGGTACAGTGGTACTTGTCTGCTGCCTTCACAGTCTGTTTTTAGTAAGAATGTGATCCATCCATGATAAAATATCTGCGAAATCAGGACTCGGTCTTCTGTGTCCTTGGGGGTGTGACCAGATAGATCCTCGTCATTTAATCTGTGCTTATTTAAGAAATATTGCTTGTCCTTTTTATAAAATCTAGGACACATCAGTGCTTTATAGAGTACATTAAACAGTTGTGGTTTTCTAATAAATGATCAGGATCCAAAACCATTGAATGCTTGGGATCTCAGGGGAATTGTACTGGGGAATATGGTCCTAGTCTCAGCATCATGACAGCCACAGCTTTAGGATTACTAAACTCATCTTCCTGAGCGGCCTAGTTTTTTTTAGGCTGTAAATTCTACCAGCCAGAATGTTAACACCACTATTCCTTCACGCAAGCAAAGTCTTTTCTTACCGTCTTTGAATTATTAATGGGTTCTTCTTCCATTCCCATGAAACTTTTAAAAAACCTCCCCCTCTGCACAGGAAAACTGAACAAGTGTATAAAATCTCAAAGAACGTTGACAGAGGTCTTTGTTTCTTATGCCCTGAACCAAAAATGCTCACGTTGATGATGACAAATACTGTAATAGTGTTACTATTAATAATAAGTATTTTTGGACTGGTATTAACCAAGTTATGCTAATTGAATTTGCAATGTATTTTTGTTTCTTAATTGTCTCCACTTTTTTTTGCAACTTCCCTTTATAACTGTGTAATTGCCAGTTGCTAATGACTAACTACCTGCAATGGTGTCTACTCCAATGCTCTATTAAAGGGGAACTGCAGTCCCAATTTCTCAAACCGGTTATTAAATCTCAGAAATAAAATTAATTCATTGACATTAGAGGGAAAAATGCTACATTTCCAGTTAAGCACAAAATCATGAACTTTGTGAAAGTACTGTAAGTCGCCTTGTTGTCGCAAACTAGGATTCAAGTTGTGACATGATACGGCCTGCTCACTAGTCACAATAACGACTAATGTAATGCGATGTATGAGCAAATAAAAACAGGTTGTGCTGCAGACGTTTCACCGCAAAAATGTTCCAGCGTGATCTGCATGCTAGTTAACAAGTAAGTCGTATTTTTCGGTGAAACCGCATTGAAATAAAAGCAATATTTCTATTGGATTAAAAGAGATGTATTCACAAGCCAGCTTACACCTAAACAAGGCTCCACAGCTGAAACGTTGTATTTTCTTCTCTTTTCAGCAAGGAATAAACCTTTACTTCATCCTTTGCACCTTAAGTGAACTTAAACATGGTAGCACAAGACTAGTTGTGCACTGCTGCTTGAAAAGCATTCAGCTAAAAGGCAGCCTGCACATACAGTAAGCAGCTCTAGAGGTTAAGTCGCACAAAACGATATTCATTGTTATATCCTCTTTTGAAGTAGCACATACTGTAGACTCTGATTTCAAGTGTTTTTTGAGCAGTTTCACAAATGTTAATTTTTAAGTTCAGCTGATGAAAATGGTTTAGCATCAATGTTTGTTTTACAATGTTTTAAAATGAACTTTTCACATGGACTGTTGCTCTGTGATCTCTTCATTTCTGATGAGTTTGAAAATGTTGATAATGGAGACTGAAAACACCCAACAACTTTACGCTGTGGAACAACCATCCATGAAAAGCTAAATTCTAAAGCCTTTTTTTTTAAATAGCTTGTTTCATAATTGAATACTATTCTGAATATTACTGCCTGACATTGTGTTTGTATCCAGTTCATTTCTATGATTCTATCCAGCTGACTTCCATACTCCTGTCAGCAGGCTGTATTTATGCATCTTCTGGTAGTGTAATAGTTACAGACTGAAACTAAAATCAATGGCTTTTAACTGGTTATAGGAAATTCAGTAGTATGCATGATGTAATCTGCATCAATTACTGCTTTCTGTGAGAGGAAGGATGACATTCTGTGCATTTTAAACTTGCATATATGTATTTAATGAAGTCTGTGAGTAAACTAAGTTACTCCTGGAATTCTTCAGTCTTAAAATATACTTAGAGTAAACTTCCTTTTCTCCTTTTGTCTCCTTTAAAGTCCAGATTCCTTTAAAGTCCTTTAAAGTTCAGATTATCGATACAAATGTAAAAAAAAAAACAATTTACAGGACCGATGCATTACATTGATGATAGAAAGTTGTGTTCTGTCCCAAAATAAATGTAAAAGAGAGAAAAACGTGAAGCCTCCCCGCCTCTATTTTCTTCATCTGACTTAACTTTCTGGTAGTAATAAATGCTTTTGACAAACAACGGCTCAGTCTGCAAATTGGGCTTGCTGACAGTGTGATAAACTAGTATGCTGTGACAGCTTTTAGCGAGATGTTGTTGCACAGCATTAAACAATTTCCTTATGTTGCAGTAAAAGACATCAGGAAGAACTGAAACTGATATAGTGTACAAGTTGCTCTTTGTAGTGTCAGTTGTTGAAATACCTGTCAGGGTCACTGTATGATCTGTTGGACTTAAAATAGAGCTCCCTCTCATCTTAGCAAGAGGCTTTAGAGACAAATTATTTTTATGTAAGTGCAGCATTATTTTCTTATTAGAATCCCATAAGAGATGTGCAACTATTATAAGGTGTCAAAAAGCACTAGAGCTAAACAGTGTATTTTCTGCTTTACTGCTGATTCATCTATATATTCATGATTTATTTAAAACATTGGGTGCAACTACTGTGCTTCATTATTACTTTGAAGATGCAGATTGCTTCAAGCCAAGCGGCAATTCTGTTAAAACAAAAAAAATAAATAGTTTGCACAGCAAGTTTTATGTATTTATGTTCTCTCTCCCTGGGATATTCAAAGAAGGTCCATTCACAAGCTCCTTTTTCCAAAGTTTATTAGGATTTTCTCATATTTCGGGATTAGAAAAGATCAGTATTGATGAGTCCATCGCAAACCTCAATAAAATTATAATGTAGACCTCCAATATACAGTACATCACAAAATAGACTGAATTTCTAGGTATGTGCAGCGCCAGGTTCTGCAATTCAGAACGAGACAAGAAAACGTTCGGTGAGGTGAAGCGGCCCTGTAAACAAGCAGGCGTGTGAATATGTCCCTTTTAATCCAACAGAAATATTGCTCTTGATTTCTGAGATGGATAAATGGAACTTAATTGTTAACTCTGCGTGCAGATCACGTTGGAACATTTCTGCGGTGAAATGTCTGATGCAAAACTTGTACTTATTCGCTCTTACATCACATTACATTAGTATTATGGGGACTAGTGAGCAGGAAGGGCAGCATTAGTCACTATTCTCGCAACTCATGGCGAGACCAGGGCTTTGCAACAAAACGGTGACTTACACTACTTTCACAAAGTTCAAAATTTTGTGATAAATCAAAAATTTGTCAACATTTCTTCTGTACGTCAATGAATTTATTATTGTTTCTGAGATTTAATAATTGGTCTGAGAAATTGGGACTGCAGTTCCCCTTACATCCGGACGTTGTAGATTTTCTGAGGGTTTTCTTTTCTGCTTCTCGTCCTCTCAGACACAGGAAACGAACGGAGGCCCTTCCTTCACGCAGGCCCCTGGTTCGCCCCCTTGATGGCCACTGCGCCGTCCACCCGTCGCAGGGTCACGTCAACGCCGCCCTGGAGATGAGCCCCGCCAGTGCGGTCAGCCACTACAGCCCGCGGGCCCTGCTGCAGAGCCGGAACCTCGCCGTGGACAGTCCCGAGCGCCGGCGTCGCGCGGGCCACGGCAGCCTGACCAACATCAGCCGCCATGACTCCCTGAAGAAGATGGAGAGCCCGCCAATTCGCCGCTCTACCTCCTCCGGCCAATATAGCGGCTTCACCGAACCGCACAAGGCCCTGGACCCTGAGACTATCGCGCAGGTGAGGGCTGAAAATTGAAAATGGGTTCGGAATGGCTGGTTTTCTTCTCTGGTTACAGGGAGTGGGAGTCGCAAACTAGCCGCACCGTGAGTTCAGAGGTACTGTACAAATGAAAGTGTTTTGGAGCAGCCAGGAGTGTCATGAGGGAGTTGTAGCCATTCAAGATGAGGTGCAGGGAGGGATAAGGGTGGCCTCTACTGGGAGAAAACAGAATTGGCTCCAGGTGATCACAAAAATGAACTTACTGTAATAATAATAATAATAATTGCTTACACTTACTGTATATAGCGCTTTTCTGGACACTCCACTCAAAGCGCTTTACAGGTAATGGGGACTCCCTTCCTCCACCACCACTGATGGATGATGTGACGGCAGCCATAGTGTGCCAGAACACTCACCACACCAGCTATCAGTGGGGAGGAGAACAGGGTGACGAAGCCAATTCATAGATGGGGATTATTAGGAGGCCATGACTGGTAAAGGCCAATGGGAAATTTGGCTAGGATGCTGGGGTAACACCCCTACTCTGGGATTTTTAATGACCACAGAGAGTCAGGACCATGGTTTTATGTCTCATCCAAAGGACAGCGCCTGTTTACAGTATAGCGTCCCCGTCTCTATACTGGGGCATTAGGACTCACATGCACTGCATGGTGAGCGGCCCCTTCTGACCCCACTAACAGCACTTCCAGCAGCAGCCTTAGTTTTTCCCAGGAGGTCTCCTATCCAGGTACTGACCAGGCTCACACGTGCTGAGCTTCAGTGGGTTGTCACTTGTGAGTTGCAGTGTATTATACATGCACAGGAAGGTCTATCACTATTGTAAGGTATTTCTCTTTGATCAGTTCAGACCAGTGCTACTGGATATGTTAGCTCTGGAATACTTCCAGAGAAAATAACTTGAGCACAATTGTGTACAGTGTATCCAGAGCCCAAAGCACATGCTGGACAGTTAAATGCTGGACTTGCCTATAGCTGTGGTTTCTAAAGGGACATTCAACGACAGATAAACAGTATGTTGGAGGCTTTTAACCTCTCCAACTTTGCATGTTTTTGGAAATGGTAGTAACAAACATGTCCCCCGTGATAATTTTCAACATGATAATTACAAGGCAATATGTCATAGTGCTTGCTAAACAAATAGCACTGTGCAATTGTGGAGATAATGCCACAATGGTTAATACTGGAAATCTAGAACAACTATATATAGAATATCTAATGAGGCTGAGGAGTTTTTTTTTACTGTAACCATATTTTATGTGAAAGTCAAAGGAAAATAAAGTTTTTAGGATTTGTTCATTCTCAGGACTCGCTGAGACAATTAATTTTTAATATTGTAATTTCCCTACACTTCATAATGAGATTTTGTAGTTAAGTCCAGCAGTCTGAATGGCAAATAAAGGATTTTAGGGTTGTCTATGATGCAGAATTGAACAAACTGAGTGCATCAGGAGAAGGATTCCATGACATGAAATATTATTTTTTACACAAGCACAAACCTGCAAACGTACTATAACAAAAAAGTAAGCCGAATCAATACTTATCAAGTGGTACCTAATCATGCTAGCTAAATTCTTTTATACACTATGCCTTTTTTTGTGACATGCATTTTTCATACATTCAAAAACTGTCTTATATTAATATATTCATTTAGGTTTCATTGAGCCTTTCCTTACAGACAGCTTAACTGGATCTAGAACTAAGAGTGTAATTAGATCAGATATGTTGTGTTCAGCAGGCAACAAATTATTTAACAGAACTGATAAAAAAATCTCTGTCTTGAAGGTCCATTACTGAAAAGTATGCAAAGTGCAAATCCGGGGACAATTTATCTGTAGAATTGAATTCCTCAAGAAGTGTGATCTCCCAGCAGAAGTGAACATTCTGTTATTGAATCAATTCAGTAGTGAAGAACAGTGATCAGGGTTCTGGACCTGCAGCTGGAAGCTTACAGTACCAAATCCTGATGTGTGGTGAGCGTTTTGACGCACTATGGCTGCCGTCACATCATCCAGGTGGGGGCTGCACATTGGTGGTGGTGGAGGGGAGTCCCCATTACCTGTAAAGTGCTTTGAGTGGAGTGTCCAGAAAAGCGCTCTATAAGTGTAAGCAATTATTATTATTATTATTATTATTATTAAATCCTACTCTTTAGCAAGGTCCTCTATAACAATGCCTAGATGTATAAATGGGTGTTTTGCATAAAAGCAAACCAGTTATTAATAACTTTAACAACATTTATTTTATTATCTAATTAATAATTAAGTATTATGCATTTGTACATGACAAAGTGTAAACATCTTTCTATCCCCCTTTAGATAATGTAATCAACGCCCCGAGAGTGAGTGGCCACAACAGGAAAGAAAACAAACTGCCACTTTTGTTAAGGAAAATTGCAGTTCTCTCTGCTTCTTGTAAACTGACTTGTATGCAGTTCTGCTCCCTCAAATATCAGTCAGATCCCCACTTTCTTTCATTCCAAGGCTGAGTGGGGGTGTGAAACAGTAGATCATGCTGTAAAACCGACTGTGTCTCCCTTGAGAAGGCAGTACAGAAAGGTAGTAGTGGTTAGTGCTTTGGATCCATTAGGGTTGTGAGTGCAAGTTCCCAATATGGACAGTACTATTGCTGTTGTAGCATTAAGTGAAGTATTGCACTGCCATTCTTATGTCTGTTGATCTTCTTATTTTACTAATTAAACAGTATGGGTGCCAGTGTATATTATCTGTAATAGACATCCCATTTGGGTTTTTTGTTTTGTTTCACACAGAAACTTCAATAATCTGGTATTTAAGATTAGAGTTTTGGCAGGTAGGCAGGTCTCTGTAAATCAGTAGCAGCTGAAGATGTGTGCAAGGCAGTTACATTTGTCCATTTGATTGAACTGATTTAAACCTCTCCTTTAGGTCTTGTTCTCCTAATGTCTTGGAGTCTTACAATCAGGTGTTAGGTTGGTGTGTTACACTCTGGAATCTGTCCAGAGAAGAGCAACCAGATACGTTCCAGGGTTTTAAGGAATTGTCCTACACTGACAGGATGAAGAAACACCACTTAAATCTGGAACAGACTAGACTGCAAAGGGGTGCAGATTAAAGTATTCAGAATCCCCAAAGGCACTGACAAGGTCAACACTGAAACGCAAATCAGAGGACATAAGCAGAAAGTACGTGGAAGTGCTCTCTCTAACACCGAGAGCAGGAGACACATCTTTACACAAAGAGTTGTGGGGGGACAAGCTACCAAACCTGTAGCTTATATATACTGTATATATTATATATATTCTTTCCAGAAACAGCTGGAAGCAATCTATGGATCAGTGATCTTCAAGCAGGCTTGATAGTCCAAATGGCCACAGCTTATATGTAATCTTTCTTATGTTCTTATGTCTGGTTTAATACTACAAAAAGAGCTCCTGCAATTGAACTAGTAGGCGTGTGAAGGACTTAACCAAACGCCTTCATTATACATGTAGTTACACTTCCTCTCCAGTCCTTCAGCAGCTCCTACAGGAGGGAGAAAACCATACAGATAAGTGCGTTGATTAAAGGGGACATCAGTTCCGGTTCAGTTTATTTGTCATACGCACAGCTGCAGTGGAATGCTTATTTGCAGGTATGGTCCAATACAGAGACATTGAGGCAACACCAAACTTAAACACAGCAGCAACAAAGTTAGATAACATCCACCCAACATTGTAACAGGACCGTCTTATAGTTCTGTTGGCAAACTAACACGATTTAAAAACCGTTTTGATATTGTTTATGAAAACGGGAGTAAAATAGCATTCCCTGTGCGTATTTTGTTTTTCTTAAGAGTGGTGAAATGTGGCATCCTCATGAGGTGCAGTCCCCGAAATGGGAAATGAAAGCCAAAAAAAACACAGCTAGGGGTTCAAATTGCCCTCAGGGCGTACAGAAATAAGGCCAGCCTTGGTATAGCCGCTGTGGGTCCCTCATGTCTGTGCCCTGGTCTCTGACTGCCCTCTCCTGTGCCCGTCAGGACATCGAGGAGACGATGAACATGGCCCTGAACGAGCTCCGGGAGCTGGAGCGCCAGAGCTCGGCCCAGCACGCCCCGGACGTCGTCCTGGACACGCTGGAGCAGATGAAGAACGCCCCGGCGCCGGCCGGCGGCTGTGGCGAGGGTCTGGGCCCGCTCCACGGCGGGGTCCCGCTGAGGGCC